TTGCTTTCTAGTCACTGAAACACCTGGAAATAATTAGAATGACCAAATATCCAGGATATAATCGGACATAAAATGGAAAAATGTTGTAAAGGCTCCCTTTTCATTTCAGCCACATCAGTCAATCTAGCTGTTCACACCAGACGCGGAGTGGAACGGACTTGCAGTGATCTTTTCGGCATTATAATGAACCTGAGACACTTCATCATTAAAAAAGGAGGAATAAAACTGGAGTTAAAGTTAAAACTAGGCCTATCGGTAAGTCCGGATTTGTCAAGAAAAAGTCCTGGAAAGGTCCAGGAAAATAATTTGTACTTTATAACGGTAGGGAGGCCTGAGTTAGGCCTGGAGATTTAGCATTTTTGCTCACTTGTCACACTGCTGATGTAACTAATACTGCAGGAGAAGTCTGGTGGTGACAAAGAAGCATTTTGCTTTCACAAATGTAACAGTCCTCCTGGCAACAATCACAGATACTCAGCAAACATAAACTCCCTGTCTCTTCCACCTTGCTGACACTGTGTACTGTGTGTGCGTGTGCACCTCAGTGGTTATACCTTGCGATGGTGCCCTCCCCCGGGTCTTTGATTGTAAATGAGCCTAACCCTTATGGGTGGGGGGAGAGGATGAGCAAATCAGCCCTGCTCCTCTCTCTCTCCCCCCATCTTGTGCGCTCCCTCTCTGTCTCATGAGTTATAAACAGTGAAGTCATACCTTCCAATGGGCCTGTTTTTGTGCTATCTGCCATGATGTCACCAGCAGCCAATCAACATGTAGCGCCGCTTGAGGTAGCGTGTGTGTGTGTGTGTGTGTGAGTGAGGGGATGGGGAGGGGGTTCACCACTGGGAAAAGCACACTTGCTCAGTTATTATCTGGTTCTGCCAGCGAGCATGAGAGCACACATGCACACATCAAATCATCAAATCCACAGGCTTCTTCTGATGCACACAGCCTCTTAGTGATGTAATATACTGGGGTGCTAGATACTGTATGCTGTGTGGCAACTACAGGCCTGTGACGGTAATGATGTAGTCCGAGGTATTCCATATTGTGCATTGTATTTTCCAAGGAGATTGCAGTGTTGTGCTGAAATGGTTAATGCGTGCTGTAGGCTTGGGGAAACAGCTCTCCTGGTATTTGTTGATTTACACTTTGAATCTGAGTATGTTTATAGCATTAGTCTGACATTTGCAATCAGGCCTAATTATAAGATAGACATCTTGTGTTTAGTGACTATTAGTTGCTTTACATACTAACCTCAGCTCAAGGTGACTGTGGAGGCCTTTCATTCTTTCCTCCTGCAGCCTTAATACTCGTGGAGAGCTCGAACTGTCGAGTCAAGACGGGAAACACAACGAGCATGTTCTGGTAATTGCAAAATGGAGAAACATCAAGTGTTGGGATTGAAGCTCAGCAGAATGTCATCCTTTGAGTGTTTGTGCTCTTAGCAAGCTGTTTCTTCTGACCTTCTTCTTGCTGTTTGTTAGACACAGCAACGGCGCTGACGGAAGACTGAGATTGCCCAAATTATTACTGTCCCATTCTGCTCTCAGTGATTCTGTGTTCATCTTGTGTTCATCTTCCTCCTGTTGTTCCTCTATGCCACGTGTTACTGTATCACAAAGAAGAAACTGACACTGCTGACGTACAGCAGATTGCGTACAGTGTATGGTTGAATTCACATTTGATATTATTTTGGAAACATTTTATCATTGCATTCATTTATTTCTGTTTGCTGTTACATTATTGGCAGTAACATAGTTTCCCTCAATGGGGTAATGAATCGTTTTAGCCAACTACATTGTGCACATAATATAGTGCAAATTATTATCATAACTAATAAATAACAAATCCACTCATTAATTACAATTGCATACTAAATATAAATATATTTGTTTTTAAATCTAACCCTTTTCCGAGCTGGACCTGAGCCCGACTTATGGCAGCAGTATTGGACCCAAACCCAGCGGGGCGTGTCATGTTCGGGCTGCTCTACTGCCACTGGGCCCAACTAATCTGTTGAAATTGAAATGGAAAAAGTGTCCTCACTTTGTGCTGCAGTAAGAACACACTGTTATGTCATTGTATTTTAGGTTAGTTTTGTTTTTCCTCCATTATTCCTGAAATTACTGTTAGTTTGTCTGCCATCGTCCCCCAGTGTAAATCAACCCTGCCCCATCTTTCTCTGATAACCCCATCAACAGCAAGTGATAGTTTTCAGGTGAAGAAGGTTTGATCAGTCCACTCTCTCGTATTGCTTCTATTTATTTAAAATGCTGATGTTTAGCTGACATATTTAGGAAGACTGACTCTTGTAGCAATGCATGTTAAACAGGCTGATTGAGACAACCAGATCAGCAGGCCGGGTTTGTAGACCCGAGAGGGCACTCCTTGATTCAAAGAGGTTTGAGAACCAGCTTCTGCTGAGGTAGAACAACAGACTTTGGTGGTCCTGTAGAGATGAGGGAATTTCTAACAAAAAAAAGGCTTAATTAGACCTCAATTGTGTTGTTGTGCTGATAATGTTTAGACTTCTGTTGCATACATTGAAAATGTATTTGCACAATGGAGTGAAATTAGTTGGTTCATTATTTTTGTTGTTTTGTTTGAAGTTTCACTTTTCACAGAAACAGCTGGTAGAAACTTCCTTCTGAGGGCTACTTTTATACTTTGAGTACATTTCAGAGCGTGTTCTTTTTCATTTTCACTTGGGTAAATACAAGTAAACACAAGTATCTGTATTCTACTTGAGTAAAGAATGTGTGTACTTTTTCCACCTTTCTTGGTTAGAGAGAAGGTCCCCTAAATCTCTAGACCAGTAGTTCCCAACCTTTTTCCTTAAGGGACCCCTTAAACTGACCACCCCTGAGTATGTGATATATTTTATGAATGTCATATTGCTGCAGGATGTTTGTGTAAAAACAGAGATTTTATCTTATTTCAACTTTAGTTCCAAATCTTCAGACATTTATATAAATTCATGTATTTTTTCATTGAACTTAAGCCTATAACTTAGTCTAAAATGTCAGTGTTAATCCAAATTAACATTAAATTAATACAGTGTTAAATTTGAAAGCATTTGACACCAAACAGGTGGAAGCTGGGGTGGCCAGGCTTCCATGCATTAGTTTATTGCAGATGTAATAGATGAAGTCCTGTTGGTTTGCCTTCCACTGTTAGCTTTCACTAATGAGAGGCAGTGCAGGCAGTAGGCCATCATCTGTGTGCAGAAGAACCTAGCTGCCCGCCTGGCTTCCTTACGGGCCACAGAGGAATGAGCAGTGAGTACATCTGATTAGCCGTTATCGACTGGTAAAATGCTACCACGCCGGGTTTCCGCTCATAAAGCCAAGCTACATAGTAATTAGCCCAGGATCGATGTGGCCGTGCAGCAGCTAGCCCGCAGACACACAGTTTCTCTGGGATTGCTCCATCACTGCACTAACGGAGTGAATTCTCTTTGTAAAAGGTTAAAGGTCCTAGTGTTACTGAACACCAGGTGCATTACTGTCACATTACCTCTTTCTGTCTGTCCACATTCTTCCAGATGAATTCAATGAAAAAGATTCTGTTTAGATAAATCACATTCATGTGCCTGTAAGTGTCGTTAATCTTGCTTTTCCCAACTCACTGGCCTTGGCTCTGTATTGGATTTGTCACCGGAGGTCTTGGCTGCCCTGAGTGATGGAACTTGTAGCTTAGCACATGTTTGTGTTATCACGCACAAACACTCACTTCCTGGGTGAAACTCTATTCCTTTCTAAAGACCCTCCTGCTATATTTCTCTCTAATCTGAACCATCTCTAATGTGCTCTGTGCCATTTCTGTTGAACTAGTGGAATCAGCTTACCAAACACCTATGTTGTTTACTTAAATTGCCTGATGCTTTGATAGCCTAAAGATTAGAGAAGCAGGCTCGTCAATGTAAGAGGAGGAATGAAGTGTCAACTGTCAGGCTGGATGTGAACCAGTGCTTTTCCCCCTTCCCCCTACTAGACTGCTGTAAAGTGCTCCTAAAGGAATAGTTTGACATTTTTTTTTGCTTTCTGCTGAGAGTTAGATGAGAATATACACTCATATCTGTCTGTTAAATGTGAAGCTGGGGCGTCCTGGTAGCTCACCTGGCCCCATGTACCAAGGCTGAGTGAGTTGTTGCTGCCATGGTTCCAAATGCTTTCCTGTCCCTCTTCTACTGTCACTATCGATTAAAGGCAACGTGAAGCTACAGGCATCAACCAGTTAGCTTAGCTTAACATAAAGACTGGAAACAACTAATCTGGCACTGTTCAAAAGCAATGAAGTTCACATTCTAGCACTTTAACTGATATTTGCTTTGTTTAATCTGTACAAAAACACAAAAAAAAGTGTAAAAAAACAATTTGCTGTATTTCTTGACTGGGACCAGTCATTTCCTGGAGTGTCCGCTGGTTGCCTTGTAACTGCTCCAGCCTTTATGCTAAGCTAAGCAGCTACAAATCTTCATTTTGGCTTTCATTATGTGTTGATTCTGGCGGCCCCTGTGGACAAAAGCAGAAGTTCTACTGCCTTGTGTCATTGATTTCAAGGGGAATCTGACCAAATCCGACCCCGTGGCATTAACAGTTACTATATAGAAATAGCCAATCTTCTCGCTGATGGTGTTGTTTGTTTATGTAGGTCATATAGAGGCATCAGTACATTCAGAATGTTTCATAACCAGTTTAAACCTCCCTCTAGTACGTCCAAACAAAGTACTCATTTCCTTACTGGTGTTAATAATTGTTCATAATAGTATTGAGTCAGTTTTTTTTCTTTACAACAGTAAAATCACATTTGTCTGCCTATATAAATCTAATAATAATTCCCACTGTTTGTTTTGTGGATAGAGGATTATTGTACAGGCAGTAATATGAGCACTCAATGTGTGAAGATTAAAATTGAAATGTAATTGTGTGAAATGGGCTTTGAGCCACACGCTGCCTTCGATTGTTGACTGGGCTAACCTGTGTCTGTTGTTACCCCAGGTGCCCACGGAGTGCGAGAGGAGCCCCAGTTTGTGACGGCACGTGCAGGAGAGAACGTCATCCTGGGATGCGACGTGTCCCACCCCCTGAACGGCCAGCCCTATGTGGTGGAGTGGTTCAAGTATGGAATGCCCATTCCCTTTTTCATCAACTTTCGCTTCTACCCTCCTCATGTGGACCCGGAATACGCCGGTAAGCTAGTAAAGCAGTCACACTTAGGCTTTAAGCACATTTTACTGCCCTCTCTGGTTGGAAATATCATGCCTGTTGAGTCTCTGACCACAGCCAGCTTTACTGATGGGTGAAGTTGGATGTGGTCAGAAGGGTGCTCTGTTGCACCTGTAATTACACTCAACAGTGATGTCACGGTGTACTTGCACACCCAGGAGTACACCTCTACATCACTGCAGTAAGGTGAGGAGTCAGTCCATTTTTAGCTGGTATTAGGTTGCATTTTAGTCATCTTCCACTCAAAAATGTGTCTTTCTTATAGTTGCTTCACTGTGATGTTTGAATGATGGCTGTGCAGAGTTTGACTCTAGTTTGGAAGCTCCCCTTCAGTGAAGTAGGACAGCTGTTGAAATGAAAATATTTGCATATTGATAGATTCTGTGTTTTACAGTGAGGGAGAGGTAGTAGATGAAATTTGAAGAACTTTGAACAAAGTGATTTGTGGACAATCAATATCAGAGAGAAATTATTATTCAAAGCAGGCTTTTTTTAATGTCTTAAAGTGTGTCTGGAGAGGATCTTTTAAAATTCTGAACATTTTAATTTTATTTGTATTGTAGCCCCTCACTCAGTATCTCTAGCCTTGTGCATTATGTACATGCATTATCTGAGTATAGTATGTGTCTGCTGGGCTCCATTTTGTGCTACACATCCTTTTCAGGGGTTACTATGCTCCTTACAGGAACTCTCACCTCCTACTTGGCGTCGTTAAGGAATTGTCACGGTTACCAGAACATTTGATGCCAAATAAAGCTATTTACCAATTTGATGCTACAATTTCTCCAACTGCAACTAACTTGCAACTTTTACAAGATTTACAACAATATTATAAGTTTCCCCTATTAGTGATAAGCTAAATGAGAATTATTTTATTCAGTGGAATTAAGCTCAGTTGATGTTCATGCGGCTTGCTTCATTGAATCACATTTTTGCCACTTAAGTGGATGTTTTTTCTTCCACTGTCTGTTTGGGTAAAAAGGTTTAGACAGAGACATTAAACCATCAGCTTTTTGACAGTGCTTTCTTTGATCAGCGGTGTGCTTACCAGTGTAGACTGTAATAAATATGTTTACTAACTAATGTAGACAGCTTTAATGAGATGACACTTCCTTTGGAGGCGGCAGCTCCCACCACCTCAGATTATTTATGTGTTGTGCTCAAGGTGAAGTTTGAAGATTTTCCCCTTGCCTGCTTTTGATTCCCTTCCCTCTGATCATTAAATTTCAGAAATAATCCCCCCTTCTGCTGTGTATTTGATTCACAGAGCTTTTATCATGCGTTCATTCATGTCATAACAAATTAAATGTGAATTTTCCCAGTGTGAGGAGGAGTCAGTGCAAGGAGCATCCACAAACGTTTTGGATGATCTAAATTAGATGAGTTAAACTGCATTTCCCTTCTTAGCGTGCAATAATAATAATAATTCAGTGATCACAAGAGATGATGCGTGTTGACCCGCTTAGGCTTTAAGAAACTGGTAGTGATAGCCATCACACAAATACAGCTTCAGGCAGACATGCAGGTATCCACTTCAAATCCCAATGGCCACTGGAAACTAAAGAAAGCTGGAAAATAAATAAAGAAAACTCCTTACAAATGCTTATGAATTAGCTACTACCACTAAAATGAAATAATAATAATCTATACTTACCTAGCACTGTTAAAAAGTGTTTTTCAATGGGACAGTTCAAAGGAAAATGCGACAAAACTTAGATAAAGGTCCAGGTATGTTTTCATTAGTGTATATTCAACGGAAAATAGGAATCGTTGTGTTTTTGTTACCTTAAAGGGGAACTATTTCTTGTGAAAATTGTGACTTTCCCCGCTCCCCCTAGCGTCCCCAGGCGGAAAACCAACCTTGCAACTTTGGGACTACTGTCCCGTTAAGTTGGAAATAGGAAGTATCATGAGAAGCGAGAACGAGCGAGAAACACTAACTGCTTTGGCAATTCCACGTAAACGCACACGCCCCCCTCAATACTGGTTAACCACGTCGGCTATAAGAACAAGTGACGATGAATGTATTACCCACCTCGGTAGACATTGATCCACACGAAAAAGTTGCCCGGCAACAAATGCACATCAGCAGCGGCAGAAAGGGGGAGGAGGGTGCTGCAAGTGAGTCTTTTTACGACAGTGTTTTGAAATATACGTCCCAGAGCTGTAGGGGGAGCTCGTTGAGAAAACATGCGACGACAAAAGTGAAAACCATCGAAGAAATGGCTAGAGTTGCCAAGTTCCCCTTTAAGAATAAGACGTTTTTCTCTACAGACACTGTGGAAAACCTTCCCTGGAATCTGCCATGTTGGACCACCATGTTTCTAAAGTAGTCCAGAATGGACCAACCAAACACTGGCTGTAGACAAGGCCTTTTGCAGCCAACGTAGTTTCTCCTACAAACTTCACTTTGCTGCTAGATGCCACTAAATCCAACACACCTTTTTAAAACAATAAACTTGAACTGAAGAGCTGTGGTAAATGATGGTGACTTTAAGTGTGATTTTAAAAGAAGATGAGGAGTGTTTTGATCTCCATCTGGACCTATGATTAGTGTAACTATTTTTTATCCCTATTTATGGAAAAGAATTTTGCCACCTTATTGGGCAAAGCGTTTGACAGTGGAGCTGCTATGAAGTGCTGTCTTGCCCATTAGGGCAAGTTCGGGTTTGTGATTAATGGACAACCCGCTCTACATCTCGAGCCCTAGCCAAATTAAAGATTTGAGCGGTGATATACAGTACAGGCTGCGGCCACTAAATATCAATTGAATACATTTGATTTGACGGGTTTTTAGGGACAATGCGCAGCACCTCTGCTTGGTCTCTGTGCTGGTTTAAAACTTCTCTAGCTGTAACAGGCTTTATTTTTCAGACACATCACTGGTTTAAGCCTTTAGCGAGGCAACGATTCATCTTTGTTTTAAAGTGAAGCAGTGAAATATCTAAAGTTCTATAGCATGACCAACGTCTGCTGTGCTTCATTGTGGCCATGGTATTACATCATGGAATAAAGTCACAGGTCAAGGTCAAAGCTGCTGAGATACATAGAGGCTTACATTGTGCCCTCTTTAGATTGTCAGGGGTTAATGAGTCGAGCCAACCACAAGGCCACTGTTTCCTAGACACCAGTCTACTCTTGGTCTCAAACAAGCCGTTGTCTTATTTTGTTTCAGAGCGGAAGAGGGAGAAAAACATCTGTGAGAGCAGACGAGGCAGACTAAATATAAAACATTTCCATGAGAAAGTGTTGGGAGGAAGCGATGGATAGAAATTGATAGCTGGGCAAGAAGCAAGCAAAATTGAAGATGAAACTGGAAATGGAGGGACAGACAAAAAATAAAGAAAGAAGTGGTCCCAGATTACATTGTTGAATGTCTCCTATCATCATGGAAGATCTCCAAGCTGGTCCAGAAGAATGTTGACATTTTAAAATGACTTGCCCCAGCAGTCCTGAGGCTAATAAATGTGCTTTGCCCTTCTTCTGTTATGCAGAATTTAGCAGCTCTAACTTGTCAAATCTAGCCTTGCTGAAAACGTATATTTTATACTTATATAAAACACATTCCTTTAAAGCAAATGGAATCAATGGACATTTTTTCGGTGGGGTTCATACTTGACGGACAATGAAGTATGTATAAGAATCTGTGCAAGCTACAGTATAGTAGCATCACCATTGAACTCTCTGGCAGTCACCCCACAGCACCAGAGGCAACCTCATGCATAGCCTCTTATGTTATCACAGTTAACGCCAGTCATGAGGAGCAGAGCTCTGAGACAGACTGTCATGCGTTGACTGCAGGACTTTGACAGAAGAGACAAGAAGTAGAGCTAGACTGATCAAATAAAACAAGACTGGAGGAACAGCTGGACTTCTGTCATAATTACTGCAATGGCCAAAAGTCCTGCTGACTGCTGCCTTTGCTGCCTGAGAGATACTCTTCTTTCCTCTTTCAACATTACTATATGGACACATACTGTATATTCCAACAGGGATTTAGATGAGAATTTAATCACTTTATGAATTCTGCATCCTCTCAAACCCATCAGTAGATTTTTTAAAATGTTATTCTCTAATACATCTACGTCTAATACTTTAAGATACTTTTTCGCTTACATTCTTCACAGCATTCTCATTCTCAGATGCAAGTGGTGTTCAGTTAGTTGCAATCTGCAACTTCACCACTAGATGCCACTAAATCCTTTACACTGGACCTTTAAAGCCTGATTATAATTATGTTTTATATATATATATATATATATATATATATTGATCTACATGGCGAGACGTGGTAAAACAACAGTACTCTCCATGCCTTGCTATTCATACAAATATTGCCAAGGTTTGTTGAATGGCACCAGTCTTGGATAACAATGCTAATGCCACATAACATAATCCCTTTATCAAATAACATGACTGTGTTCACTTTACTTGGTTCATCGATGGCATTTTGATCAATGACATGATTGAATACCACCTCTAACCTCTTATTTATGCATAAATAATATTTTATTAATAATGCACATGTACCAGTTGGCTAGCAAATGCTTATTTTACCAAGCGCCTGTAGGGAATACAAATATTTGAAGAATTTAGTTGTAGGTTTGTATTTTGTTCATGGATTGGAGCCAGAATGTTGATGGCATTGGCCAAGTGTGTCATACATTCTGTTAGGAGCATTGCATGCAACAAGGCCTGATGACAGTGTGAGGGACATCCTTGTGTTGTTCAAAGCAAAATCTGTAGTCAAAAATGTAACCTGATACACAGGTCAGCTGCAACATCACGATTCAATAGTTTTGAGACCTGATTGAGTTGCGGGCGTTGTGAGACTGGAATCATCACCTATAGATGTCTCTGCATACTCTTTAAATGAATCACTTCCTGTTCTCGAGAGTCTCATGTTCTCTCACACATATCTTGTCATGTTGGTTTGAATAGGTGCACATTCCTCACACAAAGAA